GTCTCAGACAGGGATCCCCGATTCATGTCTCGATTTTGACAAAAGTTGCAAGAAGCTTTGGGGACCAAACTAAACCTTAGTACTACATACCATTCTCAGACCGATGGACAATCAGAAAGAACCATTCAAACTGTATCTTAGATTTTGGAGATAGTTGGGGCCAGCACATGACATTGGTGGAGTTTGCCTATAATAACAGCTACCATTCATCTATTCAAATAGCTCCATACGAGACTCTCTACGGAAGAAAGTGCCGATCACCGATTTACTGGGATAGAATAGGGGAAAGGAAGATTTTAGATTCAACAACAGTGCCATGGATGGAGGATGTACAAGAAAAGATCAAACTAATATGCCAGAGACTTCAAATAGCTCAAAGTCAATAAAAGAGTTATGCGAAAAATCGAATGAAGGATTTGGAGTTTGAAATTGGAGATCTTGTATTTCTTAAGATCACTTTGTTGCGAAGTGTCACGGCGGGTAAAGGAAAGAAGTTTCAACCAAGATTTGTGGAACCTTTCAAAATTCTCCAACGAGTTGGAAAATGTGGCATACCGACTCAAACTACCACCAAGTTTGTCCAAGATTCATAATGTCTTCCATGTCTCGATGCTAAAGAAGTACCATCCTGATCCAAAATAGATAAGTCCCTCACCTATGAGGAGAGATTCGTGCAATTGCTCGATCGAAATGTTAAGGAATTGAGAAATAAGCAAATTCCCTTGATGAAGATCTTGTGGAGAAAACTTGTGGTAGAAGAGGCAACCTGAGAAGTAGAGGAAGAAATGCAAAAGAAATACCCTAAGCTGTTTGTTAATCAAGGTGAGAAATTTCGAGGACAAAATTCTTTTAAGAGGGAGAGAGTGTGAGAACCCGAAAAATTTCCTTATTTTATATTATTTTATTTTATTTCTTCAAATACATTTTCTTTACTTTATTTATTACCTTAAATTCCTAGATATTTTTATAAGTAAGACAAGTTTTTAAATCATTTTCCTTGTATAAGTTAGTTCATGTTAAGTTCGAAATGCATTATGGAAGTAGGACCCGCTAATGCGATAAGTGCGATAAAGTTTTGAAAATTAGGAGGAGTTTTGCATAAACAGATATCATTTTATAAGGTGCTAAGAAATAATTAGAAGTTAGCTAGATAGTTTAGCCTTTGGAAGATAAAGAGATGAGAACTAACCTTAGAGAGCCAAGTGTCGCGAAATCCTTGGAGTGTGGATTTTGACTACAACCTTTATTATCATTTCATAAAACCAAAATTTGACCAAAAATTCCTCACTTTCTTCCTAGTTTTGGCCGAATCTCTTGAGAGAAAAAGGGGAAAGAAAGCTTCATCTTCAATCTCAAATTTCTTGCTTGAATCTTGAGTTTTAACCATTGATCTTGCAAACTACTTCATAAAAGGTGGTATCTAGGGAAGATTAAAGGCTTTAGTGGAGAGATTTTGGGGAAAGAAGTACTTGGTTTCCATTTTTCTTGGGATTTCAAGGTAACTATGGCAAGAAACCCTTTTTACTTCTATTACTTGCACACTAGTGATTTTAGAGTTGGATTTTGGTAGTTTACATAGAAAATTTCATGGTTTAAGAGGTGATTGGAAAAATTACAACTTTGATAGTGAAATTTCAGCTTTTATATGATGCGTGAGCTTGGCCATGATTTGGTAGTTTTCCATGTGAATTATCTAGATTTTATATGTTAGTTTGGCTTGCTAAAGGAAAATTTCAGCATATATTTGAAAATTTCAGCTTAGGGTTTCCAAAATTTAGCTTTATTGTGGTTGATATTTGAGCTATAAATTTGCTATATTTGGATGATTTTGTGCCCTTAATCAAGTGTATTGATAGCTTATGACTTGTGGTTGTGATTGAGGTTGAATTGAGATGAAATTTGGTATTAAGTTTGGATGGAAAAGTAAAGAAAACAAGGGGAAGTGCTGCTGAAATTTTTATTACTTTCTTTCTTGTGAAATAAATGATATAAGAGGGATGATTTTGGGTTGGTTTGGACTTAAGTTACATGTGGTTTCTTGCGTGCACTTTGATGGTAGCATATAAACCGAAATTTTGATAAAATAATGTGAGAAATAAGAGCTAGTATGCTTTCTAGTAGCATTTGTTTCACTTTAAGCTCAAGGTTGGTTGTCTTCTTAGCTATTTTGTTGCCGGAAATTTCAGCCATGAATTGAAATGAAGGACTATTTGGTTATTCACGTTCTTAGGTCCAAATGTTTTCTTTTCACTCCAAAATCACATTTGCATCTTTGTACTAGTAGTTATTTGGATTTTCTTGGTTCACCTACACTTTGGATGGTTGAACCATAATATTTTATCTTGGTTGCTTTTAAGGTTTGTCGATGATCAAGGGCATAATCCGGGAGGAAACTTTTGACGTTATTTTTGTTTAAACTGGTGAGTGTACCCACTCACATGATTTGTTGCTTAATCGATTTACTTGTGTTAGAAATTTATGACTTGACTGTGACTTTAGTTTATCTTGGACGGGACGAGGGTGTACTTTATCACACTTGTTTCCCTTGACTATTTGACTAGTTAACTGTGCAATTTGGATCTATTACTTGTGTATGAATTGATGTTGTTTGGAGGCTAATATCCAACGACCTTACTTTGAAATTTGAATTCAAACTTCATTGGTAGTCAATCGAATCGAGCCAGCAAGAGTTTGGTCGAGATAGAATGACGGACCATGAGGAAACTGTTACTGATTCACTGAATATTCTGATATCTGGTATACTCAAATATTACTGCCACTGTTTCTGTTTGGTGTTCGGGCCAGGTAAGGGGTGTGTTTGGTGGACGAAAACTGGTGTAAAATGGGGATCTATGGTCATTGTTTTGCTTCTTTAAACATTGACGGAGTGTCAACGGGTTTGGATCAAATTAATGCAATGGGGAATTTGACTCTTAAGAGCCATCTGTATCCTTTTACTTGAACTACTCTTTTTAAGTTGTGGTGTTTACTTATATCTTTATTTGATGCTTATATTTGATCGATTAAAATTGTAATTGTGTTATTCTTGACTCCGTGACCCTTTTGGTACCTCATTGGGTGAAAACTCACCCTATTACCTTTGTTTTCCTTACAGGGGGCGAAAATTTGGGAACGTGAATTATGGGAAAAAGTTGAGCTAGTTATAGTTTATTTTTGTTTAAGCTCCTTTGTATTAGTAAACTTCACATGTATTTGTATAAGTTTGGATACTCTACCTTGTACTTTAAGTTGAATCGTTAGAGACTCCATTGTATATAGTATGGATTGATTAATCGAAGTTAAATTGCGCGTTTTAGTATGGAAAATATGAATTTTGGCTTAGTAGTCATGGCGAAAGTTGGGCAGGCAGTCCGCTAACCTTTGGGGTACGCTCTAATGGAAGGTGGGGCTGTCACATGGAGAGTAGCAGAAATTTAAGCTTGAGACTTGAATTGTACTTGGATGAATCCATTTGCACTTAATGTTATAGTTTTGCCGACTTTATTATCTTTAAAGATTGTACATATTAAATGATGTAGACTAAGACAACTTTTACTTTTACTTGGGTTACATGCTTAAGTATGAATGGACTGTTAATAGTAGAAGTCTAATGAATATTATCTGTTAAGTTAATGTGAGTGAGTTCTGACAAGAGTCAAGCAGGCAGTCCACTTAATCTTAAGGTACGTCTTAGAGGAAGGTGGGGTCATCACAGTCTATCTCAAGGCTATTATGATTTGCACATTGAGGCCAACTCTCTCATTTTAGTTAAGATGATTTAGGGGTGTTATGCGTGTCCTTGAAGGTTGCAGAGGGATTTGGAGGAGTTGCTAAAGTATAATCATTATTTTCAAGTTATATCGCACTGTTACAGGGAGGCGAATAAGCCAGCTGAAGACTTGCAAATACAGGTGCTAACTTAGAACTAGACAATATTTTTGATAGTTTTGCGGAGCTGCCAGACATGGTTCGTGGTGACCTTAGACTTGATAGGTTAGGACTTCCAAGTTTCTGTAGAAGAGCTCGCTAAAATCCATTGTATTTAAGGACACTTTGTATTTTTATGGTTCTTAATAAATTGAAGCTGCCATCCCACTCTCTAGTACGAGGTTTGCCTTAAAAAAAGATTTATTGACATTTATGTTCAATATGACTTTTTTTAATATATTTTACTTGATTTATTATAACTCTAGACTAATTCCTTTTAGGACAAATTCCTGACTTTCCTATTATATAGTGTGAGAACCCGAAAATTATATTTATATTGATATTCTCAAAAATTGTATATATATATATATATATATATATATATATATATATATATATTTGTATTCTAATCTAATTGCCTTGAATCTTTGGTTAATGTAACGGTTGAATCGTGATTTTACTCCTATTGCCTCATTCAATTTATTGCATGTTGGTTTTCTTGGGGTGATATACCAATTCGTCCAACTAGCGAGGTAGGTGCGATAAATTTTGTGAACTAGAGGGAGATTTGTACAAAAGGGGTTATTGTGCTACAAGGTGTTTTCGAAACGTATTTGTTTTGAAATTTTCTACTTTGAATGAATTATATTTCTTAGTAATTGGAAAATGATTTATATATGATTTTATACCTTCTTGTTTCCGTCCAATAATTTTGAAAACATTTGCAAGGGTTTAATTGAAGTAGTCAAACTTATTTGGTTGTGCAAACTCTATTTGAGTGGAAATGAAGGGTTAATCTTAGCTAATTACTTTTAGAATTATTGGATTTTTTACTTTGATCAAGACTAGTTTTAGTCTTCACCTTGGAAGCAAAATAGACCAAGACATTTCATTCCTTTTCTTACCTCTTGGCCGACAATGGAGTGGAAAAATCAGCCATAATCTTCTTATCTTGACCAAGAGCTCCCTAGACCAGTCTTCAACCGAGAGAAAGTGGGGGATAATTTGCTCATTGCATGACTAGCCACAATTTTTTACCAAGTCAAAATAGCTTCCATTCCTTCTTATTTCCATTCAGCTTAACCAAAAGCCAATTTCCCCTTTCTTCACTTCATGTTGGAGCCGAGAGAGAGAAGAGAGTTGAGAAAAAAAAAACTTCATCCTCTCCTTCTTATCATCAGTCAAGAGTTAAGGCTGATTTAGCCATGGTAATTCCACAAAATCTCCCTATTTCGTCAAGCCTAAACCATGAGTGAGAAAGAGACAAGAAAGCCATATTGGGAGGTGAAGAAAACGGAGGAAACCTGGACCGAAGGAGAAGGAAGTGGACAGCCTGCATTTTTTTTTCCAGCTTGCTTGAACCATGGAGGAATCAAGAAGGTGAGCCAACTTCTAGCTTGATTTGTGGCAGAAAAATAAGGTAATATGGCTGAAAAACTTCAATCTTTCCTTATACTTTAAAAAGATGTGAATACATGTTTGATTTGAAGTTTGATAGAGGTAGAAACTAGTGGAAGTAGCTTGTTTGTAGCTGGAAAGTTTCCAGGTTGAATCGAACTAGTCAAGGCTGCCATCTCTTTTAGCTTTTGGTTTATTTTGCTGGATGTTTGCTAGGGAATCAGTTATTCTTTTGATAGCTGAATATTGGCAGAAATATTTCATGTATGCAATAGTTTTGGCTGCTGGAATTTTTAGGAGGAAGCCGAGAGAGTTGAGCTATCAATTTTCAACCCTTATTTGCAATTTTTGTTAAGTTTTGCTAGGAAATGCTCGATTAATACCATACCTTATATTATAAACATGTGATTGTATGACTTCTGGATGAAGCTAAGTAAGAAAGGTGTTGTTTTGATGAGAAAAAAAAAAGTGAAGACAGCTTGAGGAAAATTGGAGGAACTTTGCTCCATCCTTGTCACAGCTTGCTGTCTCGTCCGTTTGAGGAGTTTCCACTAGGAAGTCACACTCTAACTGTTATATTTCTTGTTTTGTATGATATATAGCATGTTGGTTTTGATCTTGGTTGCAAATTGCTGGTTTAGAGGTGAGATTTGCAGAGATAAAGTTGAAATAACTCTTGTGAAAGCTGGAAATTCGGGTAACAGTCACCACTGGACAGTTTTAGTAAACGGATCATAACTTAGTGTAGAAAAATCGAAATTGAGTGCCGTCAATTGTGTTTGAAACTATACTCATAGATCTTTCCAACGGTATAAAATTGGAGCTGTGGTTTGTTTTATAAATGCACCAGAAAATCAGCAAAGTTGACTGAAAAATCGGTCGTGAACAAGTAAAAATTGGGATGTTGTGGTAACTTGTGACTCAATTTGGATTAACTTATGAACCAAATATCCTTGACATGTCTTCTAAAAATTGTTAGTATTTCAAGTCTAGTTTTAAACGAGATAATTTGTATGAGTTTTTGACATTTATAACTTAAGTTATGATTTTTCCAAAGAAAGAATGCTTGTTGGAATTTCAGCTTTGATCGCTAAATTTTTCAAGATGATGTTAAGCTCAATTTGCTCAAAACACCCTAGAAGACTTTTAAACTACAAGTATGTGTTGGAAATAAACCAAAACCATGGACCTTAAGTGGTTTAAACTCCATTTAGTTCACTGTTTTCATAGTTGGAATTCTACTCAAGGCTGACCGAAAGAGATAGTGATTTTGTTTAGCTTTACAATTGGCTTTGTGTGATGAAATCATCTTGTTAATGTCTTAAACATATGATTAGATATTAATTTTGGTATGAGTAGTGAATTGAAGTAGAAAATGAAAGGTTGAGAGGTGAAAACTTCACTTCCACATGTTTCATGTCCCAAGCGATAAATTTCCAGTTTTAGTTGAGGAAAATGAGTGTTAATATGTTAATATCATGTTTAATATAAATGTTAGCCATGTCATGTGATTTTTCTAGCTTGTACATGTTCGATTAGTTTGCATTCGGAAATTTCAGCTTGTAGAGTTGAACTTTTGCTTGATGGCCAGCCTTGGTATGGAGACATGTGAGTTGAATACTTGTTTATTTTTGGTGGCTTTATGGTCTGAAATTAGTAGTTTGTAAAGCCTATCATTTGTGGTCTTGATTTGGATGGTTTGGCCATGAAATTTTGTATTGAATTTGGAGAGGAAATATAGGATAAAACAGGGGTTATGCTGTCCAAATTTTGGGGCAGCTTACTACCTTGATTTTGGACTGATTTGGTGATGTACTTGCCTAATATGCTTAGTGAACCTTTAAGCTTTGCTTATGTATTGCATTTTGGTTGACATGGAAGGGTTTCATTGCGATTTTCTTCCAAATTGCTGGCTAAAATTGTACTTGTTTGTCGATGGAGAGTGCAGCCTATTACATTGTTGTTTTTCTAACCTTTTAGTAATTGGTTTTGGCCAAAACTTGTTCCAAACTTTGGAGGAGCCTTTTGCGCATGAATTTGAATGAAAACTATGAAGATTGGGAGGTGAAAACCTCATGATTGTACTTGTTTCATGGCTGCGAAAAATTCTGATTTGGAGGGCAGTTTTGCACCTTGCTACCTTTTAGCTTCAACGTCTTTCGGTTGAAAGTCTTTTTGACACAACCTCGCTGACTTGACTTGAGAAAACCTTGTTTCTTTCATTGGTTCGCCGCTGGAAAATTTCCTGCCATGAAGCGAATAAGGAACTTGTTGGTTATTCATGTTTCTTGAGTTCAAAATGCTCTTATACACTTCAAAACCCTACTTGAGTTTTTGCCCTAGAATATACTTAAATTTTTCCTTGATTTGCATTCTAAATATGGTTGTGTATGTTGGGTTTTGAAAAAATTTAACTTGGAGAGGTATACGACTCATAGCCGAGTCTAAATTATGAATTCTGTTCACTTGGTTATTCTTAGGGCTTGTCTGATCAAGGGGACAATCCAGGAGGAAACTTTTGACGCTATTTTTGCTTGAACTAGTGAGTGTTCCAACTGCAAGTTCCATGCTACTTGTTGCACAAATATGACCTGTTACTTGAATTGACTTGTTATTACATAGGTGAGTGTGTACTTTATCATACTCGACCTAACTTGACTGAATTCCTGTTTTACTACTATAAGTGAATTGTTTACAAGTGAACTGAGATTCATGCGCATGAGTTGAAAGTAACGGCCTGGATCCTAAACCTCATAGGCTAGTTAATCGAGTCGAGCCGGCAAGGGCCTGGTCGATTAGATAACGAACCCTGGGTCTACTGTTTTGTCGAGTGGAGTGTTATTTCCTCGACTAATTGGTATACTCGAGTATTATCACCACTGTTTATGTTTGGAGTTCGGGCCCGGTAGGGGGTTGATTGGTGGATGGAGGTTGGAGTTAAGTGGTGATCTACTGGACTTGTTATGATTCCATGGTTGACGGAGTGTCAACAGATTCTGAACAAGTTGTGACGGAACCTGTTCCCGAGAACAGACTGTATCCTTTTATATGCATGTGTTATCGACTGTACATGGTTAAATGAGTTGTCTGGATGTTATGTTCTTTATGAAAAATGTGATCATGCTATCATGTGAATGCTAAAATGCCTAATTGCTTGTTGTTCTCTTGGAACCTCACTGAGCTTTTAGCTCATCCCTTCATTTGTTTTCCTTAACAGGGTACGAGGATGACAAGGACAAGAATAGTGCTAGTTGTAATAGGAAATCTTAATCTTGTATTTGGACGACACTGTATTATGGTATTAGTTTACAAGTTCTTATCTTTTGGTCTGTATTTTGGTTTGTATATTCGGATGATTGGTAGCATGTAGAGGTTATATTGAAGAGTTTTAGCGTTATTGATTTGCTATCCAAAGAATAAGGAATTCAAACATTGTAGTCCTTATTTTAAGTAATTGCAATCCTATTTATACTTAGAGAAGTGATTGAACTACTTGCATTTCATTTCGCTTAGTCGTATATATAAGTATGGAGTTTTTGTGAATTGGGATGGCTTGTAATATCTATTGGGGAGTTTCGTTCTTACTTTGGAATTAATGTTAGTGAGTGAGTCCTAGCGAGAGCTAGGCAGGCGGTCCGCTAACCTCTGGGGTTCGCCCTTGAGGGAAGTGGGGTCGTCACATATAGGAAGATCTCTAAATATTTCACACCAAGCATTTAAATTGCATATGAATTTAAACAATATTATAAGATTTTATAACCAAAGAAGAACAAGCCAACTAATTATTTTTGAGCATCAAATTTGAGCTTCGGAGGCCTACCACGTTTAATCCTTCTACTAGTAACATATTGGATATTTGTTGCACTTGACACAATTCAAGAATAACTTTGAGGCTCAACAAGTAACGAATTCTAAAAATGCAGATATATAATCTTAACGTTTGCACATTCAAATAGCATTAATAAATGCCTATGAAAATCTAGCAAAGAAAGTTGCCTATGAAAATCTAGCAATAAAACCTAAAAAGGACTAGTCAACACTTTTGCCCAAAGGATTTTCGATAGACCTTTCTCACTTTGTCTTGTACAAAACAATCCAAAAAGGAATATAAAAAATACAAGTATTTTACCTTGACATGAATCAAGCAAAACCTCTCTTAAAGCAACATCCTCCACCAATTCTCCTTCCTCAACCTCAACATCAACATCTACAATCTATAGTTTCCCATCTAAATGAGAATCTCCCAATCTATCTTCTTCCATTAATTGACCAGAGATTTAGAATAACTTGATAAAGGTTTTAATAATTCAACCCCTAACAAAAGGGGATCAAATTGTGAACCATTAACTGAATAGCAACATTTGTATCAACCATGAAAGGCGTATCCATAGAAATTTGTAGTAATTGATAGTAGCCGATTTGATCGACATCATTTTTCTCTTTTGAACTTGAATTCAATTGGTGCATCACCTATTTCTCCCCAAGAGTTGGAGAAAAAATTTCAACTACAAGCTATTTATCTAAATCTAAAAATTGCTTAGAAATATACACCTTTTGCAATATATATATATATATATTTATTTATCTTTATCAATAATCCTATTCTTTCTCTGTAACTCTAATTAAAGGTGTTTACGTAAACAAGAGGATTATAGATGATCAATCTTCAAAAAAATATGGACAATTTTATGGTCAATTCTCAATTTCAATTTTCTACCAAAGGCCATATGGCTCATCTTTCATCTAGACCCTCAACTTTGACTTAACAGCAACAACCAACTCGACCAAGATTCCAGCCACGAAAGGCCTCTTTAGAACTATGGCTACTTCATCCACTTGAAGAAGACTTCCAATTAAACACGTAATTTCAAACAAATCATGTTTATTGAATGAGAGATGAGATAAATCTCACAATTAAGCCAAACCAGAGCCAAGGATGATTCTTGATTTGACCTAAAATCAATTATCTATTTAGATATAGCAAGTATGGTGGCACTATAAATAAGTAAAATCTTTCTCCAAAGCTGGTCCAAAATAACATGCTTTCAATCAAGCAGTACAACTGAGCAATCCCTTTTTTAGCTAAAAGAGAGAATGAATTTTGTTATTGTCTCCATTGAAGGCCTTCTTAATGAGAACTTACCAACAAGAGAATTGTTAAAAGGTTTAGAAAGTATCAACATGTTCTCTTGAAGAAAAATTAATATTGATTCTATCTTGAAAGTTGCAACTCTACTAAAATACAAAACTAAAGAAGAAGAATTGGAACCTATAAGGACTATCGCAATGGATTTTGCACCAAAAGATCTTGCTAGAATAGATTGATGACTATCATGGATCCACAATTACACCCTAGGCGGCTGAAAGAAAGCCATGGCTATTGAAAGCAAACCCTAAAATTCTAGCAATTGAAAATACATTATGAAAGATAACTTTTTGTATAAAGAGTACATCGAGAGAAATGAGAGAGAGAGAGAGAATCACTTTTGTATATGGAGTACATTATAAAAAGATAGAAGTATATAATGAGTAGACTACCAATAATATAATCTCTCAAGAAAACTATGTATGGAATTGAAAACCTACTATTTTCACTTCATTATATTATTTTCAATAAACAGATAACATTTAATGTACACATCCATAGAAAATGGTGCAATCTATTTCCGATAACAATCCAAACTATCTAAAGAAGAACATCTATTGGATCACACTGAAATTTTCTTTGTTTTCAAGTGTCCACTTAAGGTTTGTGTGATGACCCCACTTTCCCCTAACGCGAACCAGAGAGGTCGACAGCCGCCTGTCCAACTCTCGTCAAGACTTACTAACACCTCAAGACAAGAAGTACGAGTAAATCATTCAATATCACCCATAAATACTAACTATTACAAGCTGAAGTGTTCATGCCCAAAATGTCTTAATACATAATTCAAGATTCAGCTTACAGTCCAAAAGTACGAAATACAAAATATATCAAGTGCTGGCATGCTCACTTCTCTCAGGGTGCTAACACTTTTCCCCCTGTTAAGGAAAACAAACATACAGTGAAATTTTGCCCAATGAAGTTCTAAGAAAATCATGCAGTATAACCAACAAGAACATTTAATTCAAGACTAATTCAAGAAAGAATAAGACAAATACTTGGAGCACAAGTTAAGAAGTAACAATCCAATTCAAGGATACAAGGGCTTCCAAAAGCCAAATCCATGTAGCTCGGACATCTCGCAGGTGGTTGACACTCTGTCAACGTTTATCAAACCAATAACCTAGAACACCGCTTTACTCCAATTCCTGTTCACTATTTCATCCCCTATACTGGGCCCGCACGCCACAATAAATAGTGGTGATAATGCTCGAGCATACCAATTAGTCGAGGAGATATCACTCTACTCGACAAAACAGTTGACCTAGGGTTCGTTATCTAATCGACCAGACCCTTGCCGGCTCGACTCGATTAACTAGCCAACAGGATTTTTGGAATTCCCAACATGCAGTTGTGTTGGTGGGAAAATAGCCCAACCAACCAATCAAATAGTCATAGAATAACAATTCACAATAAAGAGTCGATGAGACAACAGCCCAAACGACTAACAGGGCAAGTACAAGTAAGAAAGGGGTTGAGCAAGTTAAAGTACATGCTCACCCAATTCAACTATCAAACAGTTCAATAACAGGCAATTTCGCAGGGTACATGCATGTCAAGCAAGTATGAAGTGCAATATGCACTTAGAACACTCACCGCATGGAGAAAAGTTAACTTTCCTTGGTGAAAGGATCTGCGGGTTCGCTTTCGAAACCTGTGATCAAATACATAGGATAAGTGAACTAAAGAAGCTCACCGTTTAAAACATTGGAATAAAGAAGTCAAACCTCCCCTCCAAGTGCAAGCTTTTAATCAAAAAGTATGACCTATTCTTGCTCAAACCATAAGGGAAAACTTTTGATGCTAAAGTCAAAAATACAAATTTAAACGAAAAAAATATGGTTCTAAATGAGGCAAGGATATAGTAAGATGATATAATAATGTTTACTCTTGTCAAAATGTTCAACAAGCGACTCGGGAAGAAAAGTCACTCGTTCTTTAAACCACCTTAGTTTTAAGTGAAAAACCCACGTATAAGTAGTGATCTAGGGGTTAACAAGGCATAGTGGACTAAAAGCTACAAATTCACCATCCAAGTATCAGGTTATAGCTAGAATTCTTCTTCATAAGTCATACCATCCTATACTAAACCTTTAGCACCATCAAATAAAGATTTCATTCCATGCGCCATTTGAATAATGACTAAGGGCTAGTAGAGAAACTCAGTCTCGAACAATCAACAATCACTATTCAACTCAAAGGCATAAAGCTGTGAGAACACCCCAATTCTAATCATAAAACCAAGCTCAAAATGGGTTAACAACTCCAACTTAAAGTTGGAAATGGAAGCAAGAACAACTGTAGAAAATAGAATTTTCTCTAGTTTTGCGCGACACTGTTTGAAAAATCGTATCGCAACATTCTTAACTCAAAAATTTATGAACTTTATACCATTGGAAAATAAACTCGAAGGACTACAATTCCTGTAAGATTTTGTCCACAAATCAGTTAAATTTCAGTTTCTAGTTGTTGTTTCATCAGGTAGAAAAACAGAGCAGGTGTGAAAATTTGGTCAATTTTGGAAAATCATAGATATTCATAGAAATTGAGAAAAATTCTAAAATTTTCATGGTAAAAAGCACTCTAAATCTAGTTTCAAATGCAACAAGTGGAACTCAATTTGGATTTTTCTACACTAAGATACGATAGTTTCCCTAAGTCTATGCAGTGACCACCGCGAAAGTTCAACAACTAACATATCTTGAAGCAAATTACCATTTCACCATTTAAAGCTCAAACTTTCTGCTCAAATCAGCCTCACATACATGAATCAACATCTAAGCAAGTAATTAAAACAATTTTCAACTATAACTCAAGCCATCTTTAGCAATATATATAGCAACCCTATCCTCCAAGCATCCAACGAAAAAAAAAATATCTCAAGACAAACTACACATCAATGCCAACCTCTCAACTCCACAAGGGGAATGATGTTAGGGTGAAGATCTTACTTGGAACAAGAGTTGATTAGCAAGATGCAAAGCTTTTTCTTCCTCCTCTTTTGCCCCAAGGAACCGGCCAACAAGCGAGGGAAATGAAGAGGAGATGAAGGAGAAATCTTGGTGATTATCTAAGGGTTTGATCAAAGAAAAAATGGTGGAAGAAATTGCAGCCAACTCTCTCTTTCTCTACCTCTCAAGGTTCGGCCAAGGGGAGTGGAAAAAGAAGAGAAAGAGTGATGAGAGAAAAGGAGAGTTTGTTTGGTTTTACAAGCAAATCAAAGTCAACTTTGAATAGTAAGAGAATAGGGTTCAACTCTCAAGTCTTGTCAATCTCCCTCAAAATTCAAATCTTACTACACTCTCATGGTTATGATCATGTTTTGCTAGTTGGTAGTACTAGTACG